ACCACACCCTGGACACCACCAGTGCATTCAGAGACAGGTCTGTAAACTGGTTCTGGTGAGAGTTAGTCCATCAGGCCTCACAAGCCACGTGGTCCATCACAACAAGTCAACACTGCTGTTGTCAGGCAAAACCAGCCACAGACAATTTAAATGAACGAGTATGGCGGTGGTCCAGTGGAACTTATTTTACAAAATCACAGGCTGTAATTGTTGACCTTGGTTTAGGAGAACTTTGAGTGTTGCCTCCATGATGGCTACTAGGGTAGGTAATTGCTACTTCTTTTTAGAGTGAAGAAGTCATTCATTCACCAGTGAAGACACTGCATTGCACATGGTCCGAATCTTGATTACAGAATTCGATGGCGTCTGTACTCAGGATGACTGGACAGAAAAAGCAACATCCTCCTTTCTAGGCCACATTTCTAACAAACACTAAGAAATAAAACAAAATGTTACTGTAGAGATATGAGCCAAAAAGAACCCTTTCTGCCTCTCCCACATAAATACACCCAGGACCAGCTATATAATTTGCAGGCGTGGTATAAAATGAAAATTCAATGACTTGTTAAGAAATGAAGGATTTCTTTCTTTTTTTTTTTTTTTTTTGAAGAGGTTTTTGCTATAGGGCGCATGTGCTCGCCAGACAGACAGAGAGAGACAGAGAGACAAAAAGCGAGAAATCACCTTCTCCTCCATTCTCCTCTCGGGATCTTGGGCATGCACGCACACGCGCCTGGTGTGAGTTTAAGCCACCGGGTCCGGGACTTGAACCACGGTCGACCACGTGGGAGTCCAGCGACATAGCCATTACGCCAACTGCTGGTCCCAGAAAGGAAGAATTTCAAAATGACAGTAGCAGAAGTCACGTGCCCGTGAGGCCAGTCATAGCCTCAGCAACTACCTCGGCCACATACAGACCTACGTGTACTTCAATGACCAAGTGCTGTTTTCATGAAGGTACAAATAGTATTGATGACCAGTTTTAGAAAACACCTTTTTCTTACTTTTGGCAGCAGTTTTAGTTTCTCTGAGATGTGTGCCATGTGATCAAACTGCCCATTGTTCAGAGATACCTCGTTCACTGTGGATGGAGGTGCTTCTAGACTGCCACGGAAGGTGGAGTGGAGTGTGATTCATTTATAGAGTGTTGGAGATTGACCACACACACAATCTTAGCCCTGAAGGCAATCCATCAGCCAAGCCGGAACAAGCTGTACACCCGGCTTGTATTGTTTCCTGTACATTTCCCCAGGGTGTGTGCCACAAGCTCCTAGTCACATTGGTTGGCAGAGTCCTTAAGAGTTTAATGTGCGCGTGTGGGACAAAGAAGATCGATATAGTGATTTCTGTTCTGTAGGAGCCAATGTTCCTACAGCCACAAATAAAATAATCTGAAAACGTAGGAGCATTGGTATCCGTTCAGAGAGTGTGAATCATTGAAGTAATTCCCCACATACTTGAATCCCTGGTTTTCCCTGCTGTTATGAAACTAGATCCACAGCATGGGGTATATGGAGTCCTTGAGTGAGAGAAATTGGAGAGAAACTTGAGCCTTGATCTAGTGTTGAATTTGGGACTGGACAGAATCATTCTTCTAACCCTACTTGTCTTTTTGAGCCTGAGAGCAGCTGTGATATTTCCTTTGAAAGAAGCAAAATGCTCTAACCCTTTGGATAAAAAGATCATTTTGATGTGGCAGCTGTGGGTTTGGAAGGATGAGTTCCATCAGTAAAGGGCGAGTACGCTATACCATAACACCTAACCTTACCTTCAAAGGATGATAAAGACTGTGGGTTATTTAAAAACGTTGACAACATAAATATTCAGAAATTGATGAGCATTTCGTCAGGTTATATAGCAGTGTCCCCACATCAGTCAGTTAAGTATTCTACATATTAGGCCTTCCTGTAGAAAGCCTCTCCTTTCACCCCTTCACCCACCAATCCTCTGGCTCTCTAGTGGTCTGGATCTTGGCCCTCATCACTTGGTACTATAGTAATTATGTTAGTGAATATTTGTCTACCTGCAACATTAGACTGATCTTAAAAGCAAAGATGTCTTCTTATGTGTGTCCTCAGCACTAAGCGCAGCGCTTGGCACCAGTAGGTCTTCCAAAAGTACTGAATTAATGAGAGCTAAAATAAAACCGAGTTAGAACTGAGCTCACATTGCAGGAAATTGAATGTGTCAAGTTAAAATGCCTTCCAAAGCAGTGTTCTGTGATGATGAACCATTCCATTACTGCATGGTCTAATACAGTAGCCACTTGTATGTGTGGCTACTGAGTGTGTGAAGTGTGGCTAGCACAATGGAAGACTTGACTTTTTCATTTTATTTAATTTAAAATAATTTACATTTAAACAGCCACATGTGCTAATGGTTGCCATATTGGAAAGCACAGTCCCAAGGTCACAAATCTCTGTTCAGTAAGGACGGACACAATTCTGTAGGCCAGAAAGGCAGGCATTAGTCTTGGTCTTATCATCATGGATTGGAGCGGGGTGGTTGAGAATGATACCACACACAACAGGTCTATTTCCTCTTGATAGAACAGGACACATCAAGGCCACAGATTTGGCTTTCTCTTGGTTTGGGACCCTGGGGAAAACGTGGACTTGGAGTTGCATTCCTCTCCCCTCAGTTCCAGAAAGTCATATTACAAAATATCAATAAGATTGAGCTCCAACATCCCCATTCACAAATGTCAAGTGTCCGAAGCTCTTGAAGGTGCTGATGAGCAAGTGAACTTGGACTGTGTGTGTACTGGTACCCATTTAATGCAGGCTCATCAATCCACTTCAAAGTGGTGGTTCTTTGTGAACAGCTGGTCATTTTTTAAAATGAAGGACACAAAGCTTTGTTGTCACTCTCACAGTTTTTATTTTTCCATGAACTCTGAGGGTTCGTGGAAAATGCTAGCTTCAAGTGGGATAGTAATCCACATGGAACAGTTCCTGCATGTTCTTTTAGGCTGGATTGTGGTTCCATGACTACTAGGAAGACCATATGGGGGAAAGAAATTTAACTGGCCAAGTATGTATGTCCCAAAGGAATGATCTGCTCTTGATTGCCGTTAACATCATAATCCATTTAAAGTTCAATTGCCCTGACAGGCTGGGTAATATGAACAGGGACTGGAGGTCCGGAGAGGCACCAACATTACCTGGAGACCAGCAAGGCTTACCTGAAACATAAATGTTTCCCAACCGAAAATGTCACTTGGCTCTGGCCCTCAGGAGGTCTTTCTGGACAGTTCAAGTAAAAGTTTATTTTAAAAATGAGTAAAATTTTTATCTCCTCAAGATTAAGAGTGGATTATTGCTCTCCCTCTCCTTCATTTCACTTCATAGATGCCCATTTTGGTGTGTTTTTTGGCTAACTACTGTGTGGTCTTGTTGACCGAAGTAATTAGCTTCTCATGTCTTCTTCCCTGGTGCTGATGAGCAAGTGAACTTGGACTGTGTGTGTACTGGTACCCATTTAATGCAGGCTCATCAATCCACTTCAAAGTGGTGGTTCTTTGTGAACAGCTGGTCATTTTTTAAAATGAAGGACACAAAGCTTTGTTGTCACTCTCACAGTTTTTATTTTTCCATGAACTCTGAGGGTTCGTGGAAAATGCTAGCTTCAAGTGGGATAGTAATCCACATGGAACAGTTCCTGCATGTTCTTTTAGGCTGGATTGTGGTTCCATGACTACTAGGAAGACCATATGGGGGAAAGAAATTTAACTGGCCAAGTATGTATGTCCCAAAGGAATGATCTGCTCTTGATTGCCGTTAACATCATAATCCATTTAAAGTTCAATTGCCCTGACAGGCTGGGTAATATGAACAGGGACTGGAGGTCCGGAGAGGCACCAACATTACCTGGAGACCAGCAAGGCTTACCTGAAACATAAATGTTTCCCAACCGAAAATGTCACTTGGCTCTGGCCCTCAGGAGGTCTTTCTGGACAGTTCAAGTAAAAGTTTATTTTAAAAATGAGTAAAATTTTTATCTCCTCAAGATTAAGAGTGGATTATTGCTCTCCCTCTCCTTCATTTCACTTCATAGATGCCCATTTTGTCTTTGTTTTTTCCCCTTCTCTTCCTTTTTCCCCTTCAAGCACTGTATTTAAATATCACCCACTAGGTCTGGGTTCTGGGTTCTGACTCTGAATATGAATGTCGGGGTAGGGGGCAGATGGAAGCTGGGGAGGAAGGAGGGAGGACAAACAATGAACTACTTGTGCTGTCTGAACTTGGGGAACATTTTTATTCACAAGTTGAGGTAATTTCTGATATTGACTTGAATGAAACTGGGCTTGGGGAACATTTTTATTCACAAGTTGAGGTAATTTCTGATATTGACTTGAATGAAACCCCCTTGAGTGGGTTTTAGAGACTTTGGATTCCACTGAGTTACAAACCAAAATACTTTGACCTTTCCTGAATGATCGTGCTATTCTCCCGAACCTGGCAACAGCACAGTTACGGTATTGGATTTTTCCAGTAGCCCTGGAGGTCACGGGCACAGGGAAGGCCAGCGGCTACTCCAGCAGTAGATGTACTCAAAAGGCTAGGAGAAGGAGGTGGAGGTTGGGGAAACCCTGTCACTTCTCTTCACGGAGCTGCCACTTCACTGCTGCCCTTTGGACTTCACAAGTGACATGAGCAACCTCACTGTCACTTAAGCAGGGTAGCCCAACCCCTGGTCAACCAGGAAGCTCCAGGATGGTGACTTACTCCATAACTGTTTGTCAGTTGACTGCTTTGTCACTCACTACCCTTCTGGACAAAGAACAGATTGAGTTAGGGTCCCTCTTGGAGCTTCAGGGTCCTTGCCACAGAATGCCAGGTGTGATAACTAGCCCTCTGGCCCTCAGGATGTTGAGGCATTAACCACAGAGCATGAGGGGGAAAATGGGGAATTAAAGCCTTCTCTGCTGCTATGTGGTGTCCATGAAGGCTAGAGGCATTCTTTTCCATAATGGCTCATTTTTTTCTCCTTTGGGTCAGGCTGCTTCGAATGCTGCATCAAGTGTCTGGGAGGAGTCCCCTATGCCTCCCTGGTGGCCACCATCCTCTGCTTTTCTGGAGTTGCCCTGTTCTGTGGCTGTGGGCATGTGGCTCTTGCAGGCACCGTGGCAATTCTTGAGCAACATTTCTCCACCAACACCAGTGACCATGCTCTGCTGAGTGAGGTGTAAGTATCCCCTTCCCTTCAAAAATGTAACGGCCCAGCCGTGGTAGCACATACTGGTTGCAGCTACTTGGCAGGCTGAGGCCACATGGGAAGCCTGGGTTCAGTGCGGAGATGCATGCCTCTAGTCCTAGCTATTCGGGAGGCTGAGAGGCAAGAGGATCATGAAAAAGCTAGCCCCATTAGGCCAGCCCATGACATGGTGGTTAAGGAGGCTGGATCGTACATGGCCGACTGTGTGGTTCTAGTCCTGGATCCAGTAGCTTGAGAAACATGCTGGGCACATGTGTGAGTATGTGTGCTCAAAATCCTGACAGGAACAAGAGATGGACAAGGGATTCCAGTGTGGCTATGCCCCATGGGGGTGCTTCCTTTTTTTCCCTCCCTTTTCTCTGTGAGTGCTTGGACCTCTGGCAAATTAAAAATAAAAAAAAAAAAAAAAAAAAAAAACCAAAAAACACACCTAGGCCCAGGCTTTAAGAAAAAATAAAAGTGGGACCAGCTGTTAGCGTAATGGCTATGTCGCTGGACTTCCATGTAGTCAACCGTGGTTTGAGTCCCGGACCCAGTGGCTTAAAACTCATGCTGGGCACGTGTGCGTGCGTGCCCAGGATCCTGAGAGGAGAATGGAGGAGAAGGGATTGCGACTTGGCCATCCCCCCTGGGGGGTGATTTCTCATTTTCTGTCTGGAGAGTGCATGCGCCCATAGCAAAAACCTCTCAAAAAAAAAAATAATAAAGTAAGATGTCACCACCTCATGATGTTTTAACCATCTCATGATGTTTTTAAAGAGACTACAGTGTGTTCTCTTGGCAGAAAACTGATGCTTTTAAATTAAAGCTGACTATATACAGGTAGACAAAGGACCGTGAGAGAAGGGCACAAAAAGGCCCAAAATGTAATGAGTGTTTGGGTCCCAGGTTAGGATCTCACCTCGGAATAGCAGGGTGCACACAGGGTACTGCACTCAGTAGCTGTGGATGTGGGAGCTGTGACTAAGTGGTAGGTTGTGCTGCTAGTCATCTCAGCAGAGAGGTTCAGCATTGTTCCCAAGTCACAGACGCCCTCTGGCTTGCTCATAGGAAGTGGCCGTCCCTGGATGATAGGAGCTCCATCTAGAATGTGCCCAACTCTGTCTGTAGAAGTATTTGAAAATTAACTTTTGTGGCAGAGGGCATCTTTCAATGCAGAAGAGGGGAGTTCCAGGGCATTAGTCACAAATCTCTGCTTTGCCATCCTGCAATCGTTTTTACTAGAGTCTGAACCACTCCCACATGTAAACTCTCGTAATCGTGTAAGCTCAACACGGTATACTCATCACCATGAAATAGTTTCCTTTCTCCATTTCCTTCAGTGTTTTCATTTTCTTCCCTTGAATCCCAAAATGCCCAGTGTTTTGGAATCCTGTGATTGCAAGAAACTTCTCCACCAGACTGAAAAAGGCATGAGTAGCTTTTTAGGGACCAGCAATGTGCAATTGTGGTGGAAGAGTTCTTAGGGAATATTTTTCTTTTTTTCTGTTCCTCCAGTGACATCTCAAGAAATGAACAGGGGTGGGGGATAAGAGGAGGGATCCAGCAGGGTGGGGGACTCATTGAGTTTGCACATAATTGCAAAGAAATACTTAGGAAGACTGAATCTGAGAGAAGTATTTTGATTTGAAAAGCTAAGGATCTCAGTCTTGTCTCTGAAAAGCCCCATCCCTATGCCTCACCCCAGGCCAATCACATGGTAGTCTCTGGCAGTGGAATCCAGATACTAGTAGTTTTGGAAGCTCCCCATGTGGTTCTCATGGGCAGCTCTGGCTGAGGACTATCATCTGGGTCTTTGTCAATTTTTACTGGACAAACTTAGTTGGCGATTAACTTTCTGTACCTTAAATCTACTTGACATACTACCACTTGTGCAGTAAGGATCTCAACGCCAAAAACACCTGCCCACATTACTGTTTGAAGGAGCTCTAAGTGCTTCCTTAGGGGTTTTATCAGATAAGATGGAACACTCGGCCTGGTCGGGAGGTGCTTTGATAGGGCAGGAAGAACACCTTGTCTATTGGCTCTGCCACTTTAACTGTGTATCCTTTGAAGAGTCACTTAACACCTCAATGACTATGTTTACTTATGTGCAAAAGGAGGATTCTAACTCTCACTGCACAGGACTAGGGTTAAGTATGAAACGATTACACTGGGCCTTCTGACCCAAGGAAACTTCTTCCTTGCCTAGGAAGGCTGTCCACTGCAACTGACTTGGAAGGCAGGCCCAGGTTGCTGGGGTGGGAGGGTGCTGCAGAGACACTTACAGAGATGCCGCTAGTGGGGTGGGAGACATCACAGGAACATCACTTCCAGTCCCCTGGCCAGAGTCCGGAACATGCTCTGTCCCACGCAGTGAATTGAACGTTTTAAGACCTTGTCTTCCTTTTGTAGGATACAACTGATGCAGTATGTCATCTACGGAATCGCGTCCTTTTTCTTCTTGTACGGGATCATTCTGTTGGCAGAAGGCTTTTACACCACCAGTGCAGTGAAAGAACTGCATGGCGAGTTTAAAACCACCGCCTGCGGCCGATGCATCAGTGGAATGGTGAGTGCAGACCTCTTATAACTGACTGACACACAGCTGGAGATGTGCCTTTCTGTATTTCTTTCACTTGGTAAAAACTTGGAGCGATTCAAGGGTGGGTGGAGAGTCCATGACACAAATATTGAGCTTTCCAATTTAGAGGTAGGAATGTGAAAACCTTCAACATGTTCCTGATAGTAAAACTCTGTGGCTGGTGGCATTACATCAAATGTTTGATGAGCAACATTCAGAAAATAAGAGTGCTGAAAACTTGCCAAATGTGAAGTTCCCACTGCAGGAGGAGATCATTTTCACGTTGTCACCATGCTCCCTTCACCTTTCACCATGAGTGGTAGCCATGAAGACATACTTGTCCCATGATAAATCGTCACCACCCTCTGTGAGTACCTACCAGGCAGGCACCTTGGTGGACTTTGCTAGTCACTGGAAGCAGGAAGACTAAGACACAGGCTGTCCCTCGAGGAGCTTGCAGTCTAGGCCAGGCGTGAGCAAACTACAGCCCGTGGGCCAAATTTGGCCCATCAACTGGTTTTGTGCACCTCAAGGGCTAAGGATCATTGACAGTTCTTTATTTCATGATGTATGAAGATTATATGAAATTTAAGTTGTGTTAACCCTAAATAACATTCTCTTAAGAAGATAGCCACATGGGGGGGACCAGCAGTTAGCGTAATGGCTATGTCGCTGGACTCCCATGTAGTTGACCGCAGTTTGAGTACTGGACCCGGTGGCTTAAACTCATGCTGGGCGCATGTACGTGCGTGCCGAAGATCCCGGGAGGAGAATGGAGGAGAAGGGATTGTGGCATGGTGGCGTGGCCATCCTCCCGGGGGGTGATTTCTCGCTTTCTATCTATTTCTGTCTTTCTGGTGAGTGCACATGCCCTATAGCAAAAACCTCTCCAAAAAAAGAAGAAGAAGGAAAAAAAAAAAAAAAGACACAAAAAAAGCCAAACGCCTCCCCGTGTGGAGCGTCTGTGGCTTACATGTTACAACAGCAGGCTGAGTCGCTGCAGCAGAGACTGCATAGCTTAAGCCGTCTCGTGTCTGGCCCTGGGCAGTAAGACAGTGTTCGCTAACCTCTGGTCTGGAGGAGAACAGATTTAAAAATAGTTTATTAAAAGATGGGGTTAAAAAGTGCTGCATCACCAAAGGAAACTCAATGTGCTTATGGAGTTTAACTTCCGGCACGATGACCTGGAGTTCATAATGGCACATTCCTGAGAACACCCTAGGCTGGGATGACTGAGAGTTGTCCATGTAAGAGAGGTGGCCATGAACAAGTTCACGCCAAGCAGACCCATGGGGAGAGAGAGAGCTCTGGTCACCAGTGTCCAATGAGTAGTCCAAAAAAAAGGAGCTTTCTTGTGGATCTGAGGAAGAACGGCGAGAGTACGTAATGTCTTGGAGTTCAAAGGAGGAGGAAATAGTAAGGAGATACCCCCAGAGGATCTGGATAGTTGGATGTCACTTCAGGTCCTATCTGTATGCCACTCCTTGAATGCCTCATAGTCATATGAGCCCAAAACCCAAGGGCTGCAGCAAGTGACCCCGTAGGCCAGGCTCTCTTCCCCCAGGATTTCCAGAATGCCCTAGCAGCTCACCATGCTGCCCTGGGGAGGTTCTGCCCCAGTCCTGCTGGTTTTGCCAGCTCACCTCAGCCAGGCTGCCTCCTACGCCCAAGGGGCTCACATGCTAGCCTGGCTCGGAAGTGTCAGGAAGAGGCAGGTGATGAGAGAAAGTTGTATGAGGTGAGGAGGAAAGCAAAGTTTTCTTTTGCAGGAAGAGGAGGTGAACTGCTGAAATCTGCTGCTTTGGATATTTCTAGAAATGCAAATACTTCCCAAGTCGTGAAAGTCCTTAAAAAGGAAACACAGAAGTGCCTTGTTTCTGCAGTTTCCCAGGGTGACCAACAAGAGGTACTCTGTTTGAGTCTGACCCCAGGCTGGCCTGGCACACCCTCCAGGTATCTCCTGCAAACATGGAAAGTTAGTGGAATCCTCAGGTCTTTGCCATCAGCTTAAAAAAATAACAGCCAAACTAGAACTCCAAGCCCTCACCCACATGCTCTGTGGGTGCATATACTGAGAATAGAAATACCATAACGTTTTGAGGCAGCCCTTCAGAGCTCTCTGAAAATTGGTAGTCAAGACAGAAGGTTATGAATAAAGTCAAGCAACAGGACTAAGTTCTTCCTGGAATCGCCTATGGCAACGTGTGGGCGAACACCACGAAGCTTTTCCCCTAAGCCACTGCTTTGCTTGCAAAGCTGCTGTGAATCTTAGACAAAAGAAAACTAAGGGAACATGAGAAGTTGATCAGACTCACTGTGTATTAAGCTTTTGTTCCTATTTGAAACCTTCGATAAATTTCAAGCATCTCATGCTTTCGGTAATATCACAGGCTCAGGAAACTAGCGAAGTTCCTTTTGAGGGACAGCTTAATGTAGCAGCAATTCCTATATTGCCAGTTGTGTAAAATAAACATTACGCTGGAGAAGTTACTGTGAAGTTGTAACCCAACGGCCTGGGCACGCATCCAGAGCCTATCCCATGCTAAGGAGGATGCTGTGACCTTTCAGAACTGATGTTTACAAAGCGTGCTGCGTAGGAGACCCTGTTGCTAATTCGCTCTGTGATCTTGGACAGGTGACATCACCTCTTTGGGGTCTCCTTGCTGGTTAGTGGAGGGAGTGGAAAAGGTGCCCAAAGTCACACAGAGCCCTACATTCTAGGTCTGCTAGCTCAGGAGAGCAAGGCCAGCTCTTCATTTCCCTGCTTCCCTACACCTTCACCCATGCCATGGGATGGCGGTAATCCCTGAAGGGCGTCCGACAAATTGAGTACTGAGCTGGAAACAGACAATCCTTCCTCTCGGGATCTGCCTGCCCATTCCAGGGATGATTTTCTCCTTCCTCTTGTTTTTGGCCTAGTTTGTCTTCCTTACCTATGTGCTTGGAGTGGCCTGGCTGGGCGTGTTTGGTTTCTCTGCAGTGCCTGTGTTTATGTTATATAACATATGGTCAACTTGTGAGGTTATCAAGTCACCACAGACGAACGGGACTGCGGGAGTGGAGCAGATCTGCGTGGACATCCGACAATACGGTACTTCCTTTTAACACCGTCCCCCCTTGTCCCCCCCATGCCTTTAATTCTTTATCCTTTTGTGCATGTCCGGCCCTTAATTATTACATGGGCCATGTAATAGTTAACAGTCACGTTCTGTCACACACATCCTTCTACTGGAATAGTGTATACTTTCCCTCAGTATATTCAGTTTTCTAAACAGAAGCCTCTTGAGACTTTTTACTTGCTAGAAGGTATCATTCAGGATGTTATATTTTCAAGTTGAGTATATAGTAAAAGAAGCTTTTATAATTCAAAACCACATTATAATGCAGATCAAAAAAGGCTTCTGGGGGCCAGCAGGTAGTGTGGTGGTTAAGGCACTGGACTCCCATGTGGCCAACAGTGGTTCGAGTCCTGGACCGTGTTTTGTAAATCATATTGAGGAAGGACCAGCAGATACCATAATGGTTATGTTGCTGTGCTCCCACATGGCCGACTGTGGTTCAAGTCCCAGACCTGGGGACTTGAAATTCATACCTGGCATGTGTGTGTGCATACCCCAAATCCCAAGAGAATGGAAAAGAGATTGC